CATACAATTGGACCAGGTACGTTTACCAAGAACTCAGAAGATATGTCACAAAATCACACACAGGAAGAAAAGAGGATGGTACATTACCACTGCTAGGCTACGGATTCCTCATTGGAGAACTACTCAAGAAGAAAGGTATTCTGGGGACACGAAAAGAAGCAACTACTTGGAGGAAATTCTTGTTCCAAACCTCGAAGGCAGGGGCTCCAGAAATTCCAAAGGAAGATGATTCATTCATCTCCAACGACCTCCTCTTGGTCTCTTTTAAAGTTGATACCAAGACTGCCAAAAGGCTCCGCTCTGCGTGTCAAGAACCACAATCAAAGAGGCCAAGAACAGCAACCAGGAATCTACAAGAAGAAATGGAAGAGGCAGCATCATCTATGCATGCAGAAGAGGGCTCTCCTCTCACTATCATCCAGGAGGAGGCAGAGTCTTCTTCCAACTCCTCCAATGCTAGCAATAGCTCTGCCACTCCGCTCTCCATTCTCATTCCAAAAATACAACAACCAGTACAACCAGCTCCAATAGAGGAGCAGGAGACTCAACAAGGAGAGCAGATGGCTCCTCCAGAGATAGAACAGCCAACTCAACTCAACAAGCAAATGGCTCCACCTTCACCAACAGACCACTCACCAACTCCTCTGCAAAAATTAGAGGCTGAATGGGCTAGAGTCAAAGCTTGGAGAGAATGGAAACTCTCCAAAATTCTCCACCAAGCCAGGACCCTAACAAAATTCATCAGTGAAGAGTACTTTGCTCTCACCTGGCTTGGAACTGAAGACATAGCCAAAGCCACAAATCTTCACCAGATGAATCTGGTCTATCTCACAAAGAAGAGGCAGCTGACTGATGAATCACCAGAGGAGCACTCCGAGGATAAAAATGATGATGGTGATTCTAATGATGATGATGACAACCACTCTGGTCCAAATAACCCTCCACAGAATAGAGGTAAGCAAATCATCTCTTCTTCCTCTTCCAGTGATAAAGAACTTCAAATGGTTCTGGAAAAATCTAAATTTGAGACCAGAGGAGGTGGAGAAACCTCCAAAGCAATGGAGGAAGTAGCTCATCAGCCCACTGCTGATCAAGAGCAGACGCCTAGTGCACACTCTCAAGCTTCTACTCAAAACATAGAGCAGCACTCTCACACATTCATTCTTGAACCTGAGGACAATGAAGAGGACACTGCTACCCTGGCCGATGTCTTCATTAAGGAAAGAAGAGCAACAACCAAGTTCATAAGTAATGCTGAAGTTCGACTGCACAAACGGCTCATCAAGATGAAGAAGCAACTTGAAGCAAGACTGGACATGAGGTTTGCAGAAGTCCACTGCCATCTCAAAAGCAACCTAATGATCCAGCAAGTGTTCAATTCTGAACAAAAAGCTCAACTCCGCATCCAACTCTCCAGGCAACCAGCTCAAATGGAAGCTATACACAAGGAGCTTGAAGATCTACGCGCCAAAGACAAAGCACTAGAAGACCAAATCCTCGCCTCGCTAAGGGAACTAAGACACCAAGAGCTAGCAGGTGCCTCCCAACCCTCAGCAGAGCCCTCCGGGCAGGTACACTCTCTTCCCTCTTTACCTCCCAACCTTGAGCAGGCCCTCCAAACAATTCAAGAGCATGAGGCTTACATCAACAAACTAAGGAATGAGGAGTTCCCTGCCATGTTCAAGCTCTCTCAGAAATTCCTTATGGACCAGCAGGCTCATGCTAGAGCCTATGAACAGCTCACTAAAGACGTTGCTCACAACTTTCAAGTTCTTCAAAAGGCTACTCAGGACACCTTTTGGAAGCAAGGGTCAGACTTTCAGAAACTAGGTCAGAGCCTAGTAGCTACACAGGACAAGCTTCAAAGATTAGAGAATGAGGTCAAAGATGAAGTCAAAACAGATCTTTTGGACATCAATAATCATATCAAGGCCCTGTCCATTGAAGTATATGGTCTGGATCCATCAAGGAGGCAAATTGAAGATCCTGACTCTGACCCAGAAATAGAAGCACTCTTCAAAGAGAGTGAGACCCCTGCTGATGATGCCAAAAAGGGGGAAAGGACAACTCAAGCAGGTCCCTCTTCCTCCAGATCAGCAGCAGCAAGAAAAGCAGCTGCAACAAGAAGGAAGAACAAGCTGCTCCAAGAAGAAGCAGAGATCAGAAAAAGGAAAGCAGAAGAAGCCAAGAAAAAGCTGGAAGAAATCAACAAAAGCAGACTTCAAGAAAAGTCCGAAAGTGACTAAAAACTAATGTACTTTAGACTGTAGACCAATGTACGATTGTCTCCATGAAAATCAATAAATACATTTGTTTCTTGTGTTGTATAGTTTTGGCATCATCAAAAAGGGGGAAATTGTTAGTACCCAATTTTGATAGATTTTGATGATGCCACTATACTTTGAACCCGTACATTATGTCTAAATTAAATTCAAGTATTAGCGTTAAAACGTGACAAACTAAATGTAAAATTTTTGGAACTAATAAAATTACACTGGAAAGTCAAAATGCAATAAGGTAAAAAATTCTTTTTACCTTAAAAGGATATTTAAATCCTACCAGTATAATTCTATTAGTACACAAAAATTAACCGTCACATAAATATATACATTGAATGTATATGATTGAAGACAAACCTTGACCGGCATTTAATACCGGATCAAGTACTGAGGGCCAAGGCATGGGACGCACAAATAATGCAAGACAAAGTGATCAGCTGCAAATTAATGCTCCAGCACAACAGGACAAGAGTACTACTCGTACTCATCAGAAATTCAACGGAAGAGATCAAACTATCCTAACCAACGGATAAGATTGATCAGCCAAAAAGCCTATAAATAGAGGCTAAACCGAAGGTTTCAAACCAAGCTTTGAGCATCCAAAATAGAGAAATACTTCCACAAGCATTCACGAGCTAACTAGCAAAAGAGAAAGTGCTATTCTAAACTTTACTCTCTGCTTGGACTCATGCTTCACTAAACTTCCAGTTTACAAACTATTCATTGCGAAAGTATAGAAGTTTAGTTCCTAGTTGGAGGGTAGAACTCTCTTGTAACATTTCACAAGTTGTTGTAAACACTTAGGAGAACAGTAGTTCGGATCCTAAAGTGTGGTTAGATAGACAGAGTACCTTTTGATCCCCACTGGATCAATCGAGAAAAATCTAAGGACTGAGTAACTTTGAGTGGTGTTATACTCATTGTGAAAAACCTTCAATCTAGGCCTAAGAGTTGTAAAGGCTAGATTGGCACTAAGTGTATTGGGCTTAATACTTTAGTGGAAATCCATCTGAAATAGGGTGGGACTGGATGTAGGAGGATTACACCACCTCTGAACCAGGATACATCGTGTGTTGATTCTCCTTTACTCAACAGAGCACACACCCAACACTTCTCATTAAAGGGATCGTAGTTTGCCAGCAGCATCCTAAGCAGTAGCCTTAATTGACTCTACTGCTTATCCTACTGCTTAATAACTCACTTTTCTTTGAGACAACTGTTTCACACGAGCTTTGGAATACCACTACTAAAAGGTTTGGTTTGCCAGTTCTCAGAAATACTCCTTTCATACACAGCAGACGGCTTAGCAGTTTCTTGGGTTTACCCAACTGCTCAGACCTCTGCCCAGGCAAAACTCCTCATCATCACCAGCTCAGCACATATTCAGTAAGCCCTCATCATTCTGCATAAGGCCATATTATCATCCTTCTCAATCTCCTATTTTCCACTAGCAGTTGCCTCAACAGTTCCCTGCTATCTAGGCAACTGCCAAGCCAACTGCTCACTGTTTAAAGTCCAAACATCATTCAAGCTAGAAAGTTGTCACACACTCATTACATAAAGGGTAAAGACTTCCGCTGTGCATCTATTAATCTCACAAAAGATTATAGATCAACTTTTATAGAGGGAAAACTTCATAAAGTTTAAAAAAGATTTAAAAGTCTATTCACCCCCCCTCTAGACTTTTACCCTATCCGGGACCATCAAAATCCTAGGAGCCCGTTCGTTCTGGCCCAACTGTAGTGTAACACTTGAGATTTAATATAAATGGATTAATATTACTACTCATACCAACAGAGGTGCATCTCCTTTTAAGGGAGCTCATCACCCAAGAACTCCAAAGTTAAGTGTGCTTGCACAGGAGTAGTCTTGGGATGGGTGACCCCCTGGGAAGTTTCTCAGGGCGCGCATGAGTGAGGACAAAGTGCACGGTAAAGGCTTGTGGTGGTTTGTGGGGACAGTACTAGAGGTCTGAAGTAACTATCTCGGGTCTTGCGGGGACGGGGTGTTACAGAGGGGCAACAAGAAACACTTCTCACATCTTCTCAACATCAAGCAAAAGAGGGAAGAGACACTATGCGAGTTCTTTGAGCGTTGGAGGCACGAGACAGATGAGGTCGAGGGGGAAAATGACAGGACTTTACTAACCGTCCTTCAAGGAGTAGTACGGTTGAGCGCCTTTGCAAGAAGCCTCATCACGAAACCTCCGAAGTCATATATCAAAGCCCCTCGGCAATTAGACCTTCGCGTTAAGGTGGATGACGTGCACAACGTGAAGGTGCGCGAGGAGTCAGGCCATATCGCCCCCAACCAAGGAGAGAGGGCAAGAAACCAGCGGTGAAAGAACCCACCCTAGCCCCACAACAAAAGTACCCTGACAGGAGAATCCCGGGTAAAAAGGACACTGCGGGAGAAGAAAAAATAGGAGGAAACTGATGATCTTGGATCAACCACGGACCCCCTCACGCATCCAATAAGCATTATTTTGGATTATGTGGAGGATAGTGGCCTGATTGACACGATTGAGTTGGTCCCATACCATATTTGATAATATATGGGTGGTTACAATTCATTCTTACTTTGTTCACACTTTAATAATTCAATAACAACCACACAATTCTATTTTTTCTTAAAATCCGCACCACACCTCTTTATCATAATCTTAGGGGATGAAGATAGTATTATTAATTTATTATTATTAATATTATTATTAATTGCCTTTGTTACTATTAGTTTATCAGTTCTCGAGTACCAAAAGAGTCACTGACACAATAGTTTGGGGATTGAAAGTGGCAAAACTCTAACTGTAAGTAACAAAAATTGGAATTTCATTTTAGCATTACAAGTAGCACTTTACTATTTACGATGACGTGGGTGTAGGGAACTCAGCCAAATAGACTAGCCATTGTACTTTAAAGTAAAATCAAATGGACTGACCACTATAGTTTAATAATGCAGTAGTTTCATCATCGTCATGGTCATATTCCTCATCATTCATTGATATCATGGCTGCCTCATTTTCTTCTTCCCCATCATAATCACCATTAACATCACTCGAGCTAACCACTTGTATGATTTTCCTCTTCACATGGCGACGCCATGCTGCTTGAATGAAGATAGCTGCCCAAGTTCTCCATTGTTGCGAGTAAAACCGAAAAGTGTGTTGAACTTGCCGACTGTGAATCCGTTTGAATTGAGTGGTGATGAACTTTACCTCATCAGCTATTAGTGCAAATGCTTCCACATCCGTCAAGGCTTTGACAGTACGGGTTGAGGGTGGTAGGTTAGAACATGCTTTCGGATCCAGCGCCCAGGTCAGCAACTCCTCCCCACAAAAGTCACTCTCTTGTAGGATGCCTGTGTTCAAGAAACCACTTCTCCCACCATCAGTCGTCACACTCTCCAATTGACCCCGAATGATGAAGAGCATCTCAACAGTCGGATCCCCTTCACGCACAACATATGTATCTTTCGTGTACAGGCTTGGCTTCAGCCGCTCGCATATTGCATCAAGCAGCCTCTCATCTATGTTTGCAAATAGAGGGACCTGGGGAAACAATGAAAATAGTCATTTAGTGTCATATATAGGGTCATTGAAATTGAATTTTAAAAGACATATGCTTTTTCCCAATTTTGATGGGATAAAATGTTCCTTAATTAGCCTTTATAACATATGGAGTATTTAAGTCTTAGAGCTTCCAGAATACAACAATATGCTCACTGCACTTATAGTACGAGTGATATATACACTAAAAAAATGTAGCACACATAGTTTATGTCTTTTAGTTTTCATATTTCTCTAACTTCTTATGATATTTCTTTCCATAGCCTCAAACACAATGTAGATTGTAAAGTTAGACCGTCTACATGAAAGTTATCAAAAGCATTAAAAATTGTTTAAAAAGAGAGACAATTTTTATTTATTTTCTTTAAGTGTATCTCTCTCTCTAATAGATCGTTATGTATGTGTATATCTAAATTCCTAAATTAAAAATGTTACAAAAATAATGTTATCTTTATTGTTCATACCTCTGATACGTGCACATGATGCAAAGTGTTGTGTTGAAGATGTTCTTATATGTGCATCTAAATTTTTTAGATTTGATCGGTGCCTCAGTATGGTATAATGTAGTACTACTATGCTCAGTTTTGTTGGAGTAACTTTGAATTTCAATGTACTTCTATTGTCAGCATACCTTTCTAACTAAGTTCATACATAGATGTCGTTTGATTTCCCGCCTAAGGTCTTTTGGTAAATTTTGGACGAGACCCTCTTCATCGACTCCTCTTGTTTCCAACCATTTGTATTGTTCATAACGGCGAACTCGTTCCCTGAGTTGAGGTGGCAATACTCTGTGATGCATCCATTGTTCAGAGTCACTTCTTTTTATCCTCATCTCTTCAAGCCTAACGGTTATAGATTGAAGATAGGTCTGTTGGATTGAAAACACAAACTTTTGTAAATCTCACATGATATATATCCAAGAACGGGTAACTTATAAGTACTCTATAAAACCTCAATACATGCATGCACTCTTGTCATGTCAGCTATTAACTTTTATTTGCTAGATGTGTGTGATTTTGATAAGATCGGCCACAAAAATGTTGAGGAGAAGAAAATAGAAACAAAAATATATGTGATATTAGAAGTAAAGAAAGTGATGACAATATGGTCCTTATATGGTTAACTTAACTTCCTTTTAGTTCACAAATTTATATAGTCCATATAAAAAAATGCATTCAATATTTGTAACTTAATGAGCTTTTAGCATGATGTATAATAATGTAAATTTTAATTATCAATATTAATACATATACTACTATTGGAGAGTTAATTCTATCGTTTGTCAGACCAAAACAAACGTTTTAATTAGGGATGAAATGGTGGATGAAGTAATTAATCTCTAATCATAGTAGAGTAACCCCCTAAAAACCCATAACTTAGAGGAGACGAACCTGCATGTTTCCAATAAGAAGAGCAAATAAGAGGAGACCAAGAATGGCCAATGCAATTGAAAAAAGAACCTCAAGAGGATATGTGCTTGTTTGAAGCCCTTGACCCAAAGTACTGCAAAATGAGTTAAATGATGACTTGACTTATCTTATATATTGGGTGACTTGAGGAACATGTAAAAATAGTATAAAATATATAAACATCTACAAATTGGAAAATATTAAAAAAAAAAAGTATCTCGTTCATCATTCAGAGTCAAAGTCAATTTAATCAATTAGAGAAATGACCATTGCTCTACGAGCATATGCAGAGTAGTTTTTAGGAAATGGGTAGATATGGAGAAAAAGTTACCTTAGATTTTGTAGGCCCCACCACAAACAATAGCAATATTTAGAAATGAAATTGTTAGAGTCGACAACACCCGATGACACAGCTTTTTCATATATTCCATAATTAAATGGTGAACCATTACCAACAACACAATTTTTTTCGAGAACTTCTTGGGTGATCTTTCTCCAAGCCACCATATCTATCTGCCCTTCTCCTTCACGCATACAATACAATAGAGAAATTTTTGAATTACACTCTTTATTGTCTTTACATGCCTTTTGCCAACACGCATCTTTACGTTCCACGGCTAGCAGGTACCAAAAGGCCCCAAATATCTACATATTGTGCGCAACAAAATTACATACTAGAAGATTTTCGCTAAATTCAAAGTTCTTGCACACAAAAGATCTCACGTAAGTGTCATAAACGATTTACTAACGCAAATTGGAGAACTATGGTGAATGACTATGGAAATTCTAGAGGGCGAAAAAGGCTAGTGGTAATAGAGACAAAACCATTTTAGCGCAATACATCTATCCATTCTGTAAGAAATCTAAATCCATCTCACACTAGTCAAATGAAAATGTACACACATATAACATCGTGTGCACTCCTACTATGTTGATTTTTTATGTTATAGCTTGAGTTTTAATATGGTAACATCACCGAATAATTCATGCATAGTAAGCTTCAACAACCAACATGCAGAATTCAAGATCATTTGCTACAATGAGTCACTATACCGAGTGCATAGATGCAAACTTACCTATAATACCTTTTCATTGATTTTACTTATTAAGTGCTGATGGAACTCTAAAGCTTCATAAACACTTTCAAAACAACAACTTTTATGTAAAGAACTATGACAATCTTACAACACATCCTATGTTACTACTAAATAGATACTTATACAAATATGACAATTATACTCATTGAGCTACTCACATGACTAGCAAGTGCAAACCATAGCATATAATATGCAGCACCTGCCCATGCGGTTTCTGCAAACACACCAGCCGTCTTTTTCAACTCTGAATTTAGAGGCACAAATCTTAAAAATCGAGGAATATACTGAAGAATGACAATGACTACAAGAGCTCTTTTTGTGGCCAATACATCTGAACCTTTTAATCCATGAAGGAATCTCCAAACAACAATCTACAAATTACAAGGAAATAAAATATAGAAATCAAAGTTGAAATATATTTCCGGTCATCAATGGAGTAATATCTTCATTTTAGATTAGTTAACATGTTTCTAAGTGAAGATCAAAGATTTGCAAAAAAATGACAAACCATGATACAACAGCTAAGATAATGTGCATGTGAAATGATAGATTCAAGGAAGAGTCATTCAAACACACCTGAGGTATAGGAAGAATTGAAAGAAGATCAACTGTAAAGTAACGGTGTATGTATCTATCGGCTATTTGTTTAGGATCTATTACAAGTTCGCCTCGACCAAATACCCGAGATGAGGGAGCAATATAAGCCGTGCGGAATTGAAGAATCATCCGGATAATATAAAATGAATCAATTATTGTTCGTAGAGTGGTAGTAGTATAGGCTAAACTTGTATCTAAACGAAGACAACCATCTTCACTCTTGAACACCAGAAGATAGAGAAAAAGAGGATCAACTGATACAGAAAATATACAAGATATAACCAAAAGCCTATTCCAGAATAGTAGAGACTTGTCTTGAGGATCAAATATCTTTTGTTCAGAGACTTTGAGATCCTCTGAGAACACAGCTCGTGTAACTCCAGACTTTAGTGACCGGCCAAATGTCATTAGTCCTTCTGACCCTCTTATCATACCCAATTTAATTGACTTTGATGAGTTTTTAGAGCGCCCACCTGAATTCAATCCCTGTAAACTAAATCCACATTTTGTCGCTCCTGCCATATCTGATTTAAAGGATAATGTAGAATTAAGGTCATCCAACCTATATTGCCAAACATAAAATTTATTACTTAAGGCATAATAAAAATTGCATCTAATGTTTCAAATAAGACTAAAACCATTAGAAAGCCACCGTCTTAGCTGTTTACCTCACAAATTTTTCTTTGTGCCCATCAATATATTGCGACTTAAACATTGTGCACAAACAATTTCATAGATTGTGAATGGTTAGCAGAAGGAATCAACCTGTGGTTGAAAAGCTCTATGACCTCACAATAAATGCATATGGACACAAGAAATTTCATCCGAACAAACTCAGCTCCTACCACTGCAAATTAGGAAAACGTCAATAAGATATCCTTTCATCATATTGTAAAATGAAATAAGATATCCGAACATAATCTCGTTAACATCATATTTTGATTTTGGTTTTTAAAAAATTTAAACCCATTTGTTAATAAAAAGAACAAATTTTAGAATGAATGCATAGAGGGAAATCATCATATGTACATTAACATCATATCAATTGCAACTACCAGAAATTGTACGAAAATTTGGAAATTCAAGAATGTGATAAAGTTAATTGTGATAAAATGGCAAAGAAAGTAGAAAAGAGATTGTTGTTTCATGAATGTAGGCTCAAAAACGATCTGTAAACAATGACATTGGAAGGCAGGTATTTCCTTATTGGATGTACGCCAACTTTGCACCGGTGTTTAAGGTGGGAGTTTAACCACCTTCCCATTTCCCTTTTCTTTTCCTCATCTTCCTCTTTTTTGCTTTCTCACTTCCTATATTTCTCCATCCTAAAACCAACCTCCAATATCAATTATTATTAAGAATTATATGAATAAATATTTTTACTATTACTTTAAAAGCATTATTAATCCATCCTTAAATAATATTACCTTATTTGACTAAGATTTAAAAATGCATGCGTAACATCATTATTAAGAAATACATTTATGTGATACATATTGAATTGTAAATTATAAATAAAGTAATAATGAATTACAACAATATAAATATTACCGAATACGGTACGTGATAATTTATGTGAGAAGTTTTTTTGTGAAAAATGTGAATGGTTTGTGTGCATTGGATTTAAAATCTGATGGCTCTAAAAATGTCAAAGGTGCCTCAAATTTGGTTTAAAATGTGGTCACATTTTTGCAAATAAGTGATGTTTTTTGTCGGTGGGAAAATTTGCCTTATTGGAATCGAAAAGTGCCATGTAGCAAAGTAAAAGTAAAAAAATTTCACTTTTCACGTTAAGAACTCTTTTTGAACTTTGGTCAAACCAAACCAATATCAAATAAATGTGAGGACACTTCGACAAATATAAATTATATAATGGCAACACAAAAACTACAATTGACGGGGTACGGCGTACATTGTGCACAACATTGGGGTAAAAGTGTTTGTTATCATATTTTCACTATCAACATTCTTCTCACTTGATCCGGAATACACACACATATATTTGGTGAGGTTCCGATAAGAAGAAGACTTTAGAAGAGGAATGAAAATGAATCTCAGACGTTGGATTCAATTAGGTTGCAAAAAAAGTGTTTCAAGTTGCACGTAATATGCAACCATGTGAGGTAGAACTAGGGAGGGCAATGGGGTGGGTTTTGGGCGGGGGTACACTCCCCCATCCCCCGTCCCATGTCTAAAAAGTTCCCCCCATCCCCGCCCCATCCCCCATTACTCCTGGACCCGGCGACCCGCCCCATCCCCGCCCCACCCCGTTGTCCCCCACGGGTGCCCACGGGTGTCCCCATATAGATTTAATTTGTCGTATTTGCATATACTTTTAATCTCTTATTATAAATATGTGTAGTGCGATTTCAATGAGAACAATGCTTAACGTGGGAACACTCACATTTAATCCAATGTGATACACAATAGAGCCATTCTAGTGCACATTTGGACTTTGCTCAATACAAGCTAATATAAATAATCACAATGGCACTTTTGAAAAAATCATGCTAGATACGAAAAAAATTCATTGTGCAAGCCCATTGTGTTTCACATTGAGTGTAAATGTGGTGTTCGCACGTTCTCACGTTAAGCGTTGTTCTCATTTGATCCTAAACCTATATATATCTACGCGCACACAGTAATATATGACACACACACACACGCAACAAAAATATAGGTAAACATATTATCATCATGTGCGTTGTTTCAAAATTCTCAACACTTATTATACCATTAATTACATACTATATTACATATAAATGTGTGTGTATTTATTTACTCACTTTTTTACTCTTAAAACTCATATAACATTTATGGTAAATATTTTTAATCATTACTAGCTAGCTTATTGTTAGTACCCAATTTTGATAAGATTTTGATGATGCCACTATACTTTGCACCCGTACATTGTGTCCAAATTAAATTCAGGTATTAACACTCAAATTATTCAAATGTGACAAAATAAATGTACAATTTTTGAGACCAATGAAATAGTACCGGAAAAAGTAAAAATGCAATAAGGTATTTTTTTTTACCTTAAACGGATATTTAGATCCAACCGGCACATATCATTTGACTCAAAGATTAAATAAATGTCACATTTTAAAGATGCTCGAAAAATCATATACATCAAAGTTGTATGATTGGAAGACAAAACTTGACCAGCATTAAAAACTTAAACAGGTACATGGTCCTACAGCATGGGACGTCCTTTTGGAGTGAAGCTGCAGCGGCTGAAGACAAACCCATGCCGCGGCCCAATTATTCAAGACAGAAAACAAAAGGATTAAAAGCTCCTGCACAAGAAGACGAATGTACAATTCGTCCCAGCCAGAACCTCAACGCACAAGATTAATCCATCTCAACCAACGGATGAGATCAATCAACCATGAAGGCCTATAAATATAGGTAGAAGCATGAGTTCAAAAATAAGCTTGAGCATCCTAAGTAGAGAAATACTTTCATCAAAGCATATACGAGCTATCTAGCAAAAGAGAAAGTGCAAACTCAACTTTACTCTCTGCTTAGCCTCATGCTTCACTAAGCTCTTAGATTAGATCAACATTTTCACATTTTTAGAGCTTAGTTCATAGTTGGAGGTTAGAACTTTCTTGTAAACATTACACAAGTGGTTGTAAACACTTAGGAGAACAGTTGTTCGGATCCTAAAGTGTGGGTAGATAGATAGAGTACCTTTTGATCCCCACTGGATCGATTGAGAAAAGTCTAAGGACTGAGTAACTTTGAGTGGTGTTATACTCATTGTGAAAAACCTTCAATCTAGGCCTAAGTGTTGTAAAGGCTAGATTGGCACTAAGTGTATTGGGCTGAATACTTTAGTGAAATCCATCTGAAAGAGGGTGGGACTGGAGGTAGGAGGATTACACCACCTCTGAACCAGGATACATCGTGTGTTGATTCTCCTTTACTCACCACAGCACACACCCAATACTTCTCACTAAAGGGATCGTAGTTTGCCAGCAGCATCCTAAGCAGTCGTCTTAATTGACTCTACTGCTTATCCTACTGCTTAATAACTCACTTTTCCTTGAGACTTCTGTTTCCCACAAGCTTTACATATCACTACTAAAAGGTGTGATTGGTCAGTCCTCAAAGATACTTCTTTATAAGCAGCAGACGGCTTAGCAGTTTCCTGGGATTACCCAACTGCTCAGACCACTGCTCAGGCAAAACTCTTTACTACCTTCAGCTCAACATATATTCAGAAAGCCCTCATCATTCTCTGCAAGGCCATATTATCATCTTTCTCAAACTTCTATTTTCAACTGGCAGTTGCCTCAGCAGTTCCTTGCCATCTAGCTAACTGCCAAGCCAACTGCTCACAGTTTGAAGTCCAAACATCATTGAAGGTAGAAAGTTGTCACACACTCATTAGAAAAAGGGTAAAGACTTCCGCTGTGCATCTATTAATCTCTCAAAAGATTATAGATCAATTCATCTAGAGGTAAAACTTGAAAAAGGTGAAAAAGATTTAAAAGTCTATTCACCCCCCCCTCTAGACTTTTACCCTATCCAGGACCATCAAGTGGTATCAAAGCGGAGTGTTCCTAGAGTCAGTTTCTGACTAATTTGAACTAAAGATCCAAGCCACTCTACTTCCCAAACACCTTCTGAAATGGACAGTCAGTTAGCAAAGAACCTTCTGTTCAACTTGAACAAATTTGATGACTGGAAAATAAGAATGAAAGCACATCTCAGTGCTTTACATGATGAGATGCTTGAAGTAATTACTGATGGACCTATCAAAATAATGAAGGTCATCACATCCAGAACCACAGAAGGAACAGATGATGTGTACATTCCAAAACCCAAAATGGAATGGACAACTGAGGACAGGAAGAGAAACAATCTTGACAACATTGCCAAGGACATTCTCTTCAAATCTGTTGATGAATCTATATTTCCCAGAATCAGGAAATGCGAAACTGCCAAAGATGTCTGGGATGAGCTCACAAAGATTGGAGCAGGAGATGAACAGGAGAAGGACAATAAACTGACCATAGCCCTCAAGAAATTTGAGGATTTCAAAATGCTGTCAACTGAATCTATCCATGAGATGGAATCCAGATTCCTGAAGATTGTGGCAGAGGTCTCTGACCTTGGAAAAGAACTATCTCAAAAGGAGATTTCTCTCAAAGTCTTGAGAGGCCTGCCATCAAAATGGGACATGAAGGTAACTGCTATGAGAGATAGCAGAGATCTCAGAACTCTGTCAACCGACAAACTCTTTAGTGATCTCAAGGCCTATGAATTTGAAATGAAGGAGATCAAAGAAGAGAAGGAAGATGAATACAAGACACTAGCTCTAGTATCTGAGCCAAGCACTTCAAAATCTGCTGAAAAATCCCTCAATAATCTCCTCACTGACGAGCAGTTTGCTATGTTTGTGAGGAAATTTAAAAGATTCATGAAGAAGGAGGGAACTGCTCCAAAGAAAGCATACAACCTGCCACCTAGAAGACAAGGGAGACCTCAATCCAGTGAGGAAACTGTTCTATGCTACAACTGTAGACAGCCAGGACATTACAAAAATGAATGCCCTCTGCCCTTAGCCCAGAAGTATCAAGGGCAGCAGGCGACTGGTCTCAAAGCTAGTTACAAGAGGGACTTCAAAAGCAAAAGACAAGCTTTTGTAAGTGAAAAGAACAAGGAGGAACCCCAATCTGAAGATGAAAGCAGCTCAAGCAATGAAAGCTCTTCATCTGAAAGCTCAGAGGAAGCACTTCTATGCCTGGGATCCTGGCAAGTGGCTGAAAAAGGCGGCAGCTGGCTCACTGGAGAAAGTAGCAGATGGCTCAGTGAAGATGATGAATACAGGTCCCCTAAATGCCTAATGGCCAAAAACCACTACAATGATGTTGAGGTAACATCCTGCTCTTCTTATAGCTCTAGTGATTCTGGACCAACCAATATTACACTGGAATCTTTATTACAAGATTTCCAAAAAGTCCAAAATCACCATGTTCTCTTAAGATCAGAAAATAATAGATTAAAACAAGACATTAAGGTTGTTCACACAAGATTGCTAGATGCCTTAACCAAAAACAATGTCTTAGAAGAAGAGAACAAAGAGCTGAAAGACAAAATGAATAACTTCAGCATGAATAGTAAAACCAGTGACTCAACTACTGAAGTTGTTTTAAATAAGAAGAGAAGAGGCCTCGGATATGTATCCCCCACCAGACTCACTCAAAACTCACCCTCCACAAGCCACCAACAAAATACAAGAAAGCTAATCTACCAAAAATCCCATTCTCAGAATGTTCCCATAAGAAGGAACCTGCCTGCTCCCAAATCAAAATCCAA